TATTCTTCTTATCTGACTCTAGGTGGGGTCACACACAGCAATATTTGCTGTGCTCTGCATCAAACGGCTTATCTTGTGTTTACCACTAGACAGCAGGTCAGGTTTGAAACAACATTTTGTCCTGTTATGCACAGAATATGTCTTGGCAAGATACTGTAACGTTCTGCATACTTCATTAGGGTAAGGGGAAACCAGATCCCGGCCAATACAAAGTCCAGCACATGAACCACATAACACCATAGTGGGCCTCTTTAATATACTGATTTATGGTCCTGGTAGGTGAAAACTTGGATACAGCCCGGCTAGCTGCTTCCTTCTTGAATTTTATAATCTAAATTTGACCATCGGCTAGCTGTACATTTTGTACAGATAAGAGTGATATTAATCCCATCAAGAAAAACAAATAACCACTCAGCATATCATCTGGTTGCCCGTCCTACTTTCCTTTTATCCATATTTGTGCAAAAGGCTTTAAGTTGGAGAATATTTATGCCAGCTTTTATGGCTTGTGCCTCTAGTAAGGCTGGTAATGTTAATATTGGATCCACACTGTTAATGCAACTGGGATTGCTTCTGTTAATCCTATGTATTTCAGTATACAACAATCAAGGGAACACATGAATAAAATATGAGGAAAAACAAAGATATTAATGAATTTAATTGCCTTCTTGATTAAATTATGCAGAATTCCAAGAGGAAAGCTGGTGTCTCAAGTATCAACCTTTTTAGATTCATGTGTAATAGATAGGAGATAAATCAAAATGAGATGTGGAGAGTTTTAGGTCAACTTTCAATAATGTGATGAACTATTAATTGCCAATTACATCTGTTATAGATACAATAGTATAGCAATTAAGGCTGCCTGACGGCCTCTTTTTATTTCTCTCTTACATTATGATTAGCTTTGAGCGTCTTGTTATTCTCTACTATAGTGTTTAACATGTCATGTGGGTTTTGGTCCACTGGTCTAATTATGTGGCTGTCTAAAAACACTTGCATTGTGAAATGGAGACTCACGGATATTTACAATATTTAAAGTGGTTTAATTAGTAGACACAATACAATGACAACACTGTAAGTATCCATATCTGAGAGGGCATACTCTTCCTTTATGCATCTGGCTTAAAAAGGTGAAATAAATACTTTATCTTGTAAATGTCACACATACGGGTTATCAAAAGATGTTTTTCATACAGCAGTGTTAGAACTATTTCACTTCAGTAAAGTATTTTGTTGCACTGTATTCAATTGCTGACTTGGTTTATAGTCTGGTTTGCTTTCCTTTCACATGTGGTCTATAAGGCCATTTGTGATTGACTGTTGGAAGCTGCAATAAACTATAGTACTCAAATGTCCTTTTGATTGTGTTAAGAAAATATGCAGTGGACTGGACAAAAGGAAAACATTCAACTGATTTCCTGTACCCCAGTCATCAATAGATGGAACCTTTATGCAACACTGTTTTTATCAAATGTTCTGTGATATCTTTAATCAGGACTGCATCAATGCTAAGTAATTGGATCAAAGTGATTAAAATGAAACGAGGGAACAGACAGAGGATAAAGGAAAACAAGTTAAAAGAGAAAGGAATGAAGGGACTGCATGTCTTCCCTCAGTAAGGGTTGTCTCTTCCATTTGCTAGTGTCTTGCAGTGAATATGGTGTTGTGCGATAAGTGTGATGGTCCATAATTGCTCCCATCAGACAGGAAAGGATTAGACCAGAGCAATCAATAAACTGTGGCAATGTGGCCAACTTAAAGCTAATCGATTCTCCTCTTTGTGGAAAAAACATTAGCCTCAACATACTTTTGAAAACAATGTCTCCCAGTTGGTCAGTGTTTTTTTTTGTAATGATGCTAGTGTCACAACACTAAGAGAGGATTGTTGAGCTAACAGTATTTATTTGTATTAATGTGATAAAGTATATATGTTATCAAATACAACCATGGGCCTAAAGTGGCTCTCACAGATGAATGCTTGTAATTGGATTTCACTTATTTTCTCTTGCCTTATGGGAGGATTTGACTCACTTCTAGGATGGCCTTGTGCCAAGCTTGCCTCTGTCATCATCCATCAATAGAAAACAACGCTGTTCATGATTTGGCACGGTGATGAAGCCTTTATAAAACTTTGAAACATTTTATTTTAAAGGCTCCGTATTCATAACACACTCATGAGGACTACCTTTCTCAGTGGCAGGGTAGAAATAAGTTTCCTGGCCAATTTGATTTAAAATTATGACATCTATTTCTCTTTTGTATTATGCTCTTTCTCTGTATTTTGACAGTGATACTTTCTTTGGCAGGACGAAAGGGTGAGTGACCCTTTCAAACCATGAGGCAGGAATCTGACCTCTTGGCATCTAACAGCTGTATGTGTTAGTGAGTTCAAAGTGCAAGCGTGAATGATAATAAAATAACACTACCGGTACTTCTACATTGTGCATGACCAAGACACAACTGGACTGATAGATTTTGGTGTATAGATATTAAGTCTAAATATTAAAGGGGACCTATCATGCAAAATGCACTTTTTTATGTCTTTTATACATAAATATGTGTCCCCGGTGTTCCCGGGAACTCATGCAGTGTCAGAAGATAAAACCCTTTCTCGTTTCCTCCGTACCCACATCTTTTAAAAACGGGGGTACAACGAGCGGATACAGATTTTCTGCCGATATTACGTAATTTCGGATGGTGGATCCACAGAGACAAATCAGAAACAATGCCTGACGTGTTTTGGACGTAATGGTATTTGTTTACATCAGCAAGCATCGCTAACACTCAGAACTAACCTGTACTGAAGAGCACAAGTGTTTAAAAAGCAGGAAATAAAAAGGAACTCGCCTTGTGGTAAACCCGCAAGAGAAAAAGAATTTGAGCTCCATACTGTTTCAGAAATAATCCTTGATGTGGTTTAGAACAGGATGGCGTTTTATCATAGCAGAATTTAAAGGGGACCTATCATGCAAAATGCACTTTTTTATGTCTTTTATACATAAATATGTTTCCCCGGTGTGTCGGGGAACTCATGCAGCGTCAGAAAATAAAACCCTCTCTCTTTTCCTCCGTGCCCAAATCTCTAAAAACGGGGGTACAACGGAGCTGATCCAGATTTGCGTCCGATATGACGTAATATCGGAAATGTCGACCCACGGCACTATCAGAAAGTTGCTATCAGAAACAATGCCCGACTGTTTTGGACGTAATATGGTCGGTGTTTACATTAGCATTGCTAACACTCAGAGCTAACCTGTACTGGAGAGCATGTGTGTGAAGAAGCAGGAAATAAAAGGAACTCACCTTGTGGTATAGTCGGCAAGAGAGCAAGCCTTTGAGCTCCATACTGTTTCAGAAATAATCCTTGATAATCCATGATATGGTGTTTCATCACGGCAGTATTTAGTTTAGACAGTAGCTGCTGGGTCCCGCATGAGCTCAGCCCCCTCCTTTATACCCCAAATCAGCACTTTTGAAACAGGAAGTGAAATAGAGGGATATGAGGCATGGCTAGAATGGGTGATCTGTTTGGTATTTTGAGCAAAACACTTCATAGACATGTTTTTAATATATTTTTATATATCTGAGACGCATAATATATGCCTAAAAATAGCATGATAGGTGCACTTTAAGTCAAAGCTGTTTTTAAATTACACTACGATTTGTTTATTTAGAAACATGTGCATTTCAATAAAGATTAGATACAAATAAACCTTTAAATATCCCTGTAGGGAAATTCAGGTGTCAGCAGAGCAGGGACAGCAATATACATATCTGATATCAAGGGAAAACAATACAATGACATAATACAAAAAGATCATCAGTTGTACACTTTCAGTGTTCAAAATGTATGTTAAATGTAGTCCATAAATCTGTCAATGTTTGAGCAGCATAGTTAGTTTTTACGTACGCTTATGAATGAGTGAGAATTCTGTATGAAAATATGTTTGCTTTTCTTGACTAGTGATGCACCCTGTTGGCCATACTGTATATAACAGCACAGTTTTTGATTTAAAGACAGTTTAATAATTTGAAGATTATCAATGTGCTTAACCAGCTAAATCAATCAAGTAACTTACGCTTAAAATAAGAAGCAACAGTAGATTAATATATCTTAGTGGTGGTTGTGCAGTTACCCTCCAGCAGAGATTGGATAATGCTGTTTTTAACGTCTTGACTGTTAAATTCATAGGTTAAATAATACAAATAAAACAAATAAAAAATCTGCATATTTTTCATTGTGATTGTTATTGACTTGAACAATGTAGACTTGTTCTCCATACTTTAATTGTATATGTTGCATTTCCATTGATTTTTTAAGGTTTGTAAGCTAAAACTAAAATATTTACATTTTATGTCATATGAAATAAAAAATAAAAAATCTAATATAAAATAGATGACTTACATATTCAAGAACCCTAAGCTCTTATGGGTGTGACCTCTCATTCAGCTGGTCCGCTTTCCAGCTTCATTGTGCATTGCTTATCATTATAAAAGTGTGTCCTCTGTCATCAACGTCAATCAAAATCAGGGTGTTATGGTCCAATGTCCTGATATGACCTCCGGGGCTCTGACAAAAAAAGTATTTCATGCTAAAAATAAAGTTATTGAATCTTCTTTCCTTCGTTTTGTTTTTCATGAATGTTGTCGATTTTGAGCGAAAGTTTATAGTAAGAAACAACGAACACCTATAGAAACAAAGAAACCAACTATTTTAAATATGACCTCAGGCCAAATGTGGAAAACAAAAACAAAATGATAGGGAAGTTTAAACCCAAAAGCCACAATCAGATGGTTGTTGACTTGAAAGTCGCTCAGATGTCAGGACAGCTGTTCTAGCTTTGCTGTGAAAGCATCTAAGTGCGACAAGAAAGGGGAGTAGTCTGCAACACTCTGTCTTTCTTTTGAAGATCCCTGACTCTCTCTCTTTTCAGCAGCTAACTCTCTTATTTCTTCCAGTCAATGACAATCTACTAGTGCTGCCTTATAAGACAGTTTGTTGCCATGGCGTCAAACGCCAGCCACATGTTGGAGGCTGCCTTGGAGCAAATGGATGACATTATTGCTGGTAAGAGTTTTTGTTTCATTATTAGACATTCAATACACTGCCAAGTTTGTAATTGCAGGCGTTCTTAAATCCGGCGCCACCCACATGACTTTGCCATATGGAAATCATGTGGGTAGAGCCTTGTAGGCCTTATAGTAAACATGGGAAAGGGGAAAATGTAAGGATTTGTTCAGTTGTGTTGGATAAGTAAAAAAAAAAAAAGAAATAACAAAAGAGAAAGTATAGTATGGATGAGCTTATGAGATAATTTTGTTTCCGAGTCTTGACTGAAATAAAAGTAAACAGTTTTTGGATTATATGAGTTTCCAGTCATCTTTCTCTTCAACATTATTTAGTCAGACAATAATTCAATAACACACTTTAGTGCTTCCATTGCTTCTCCTTGAGCTTCTAAATCTCACTGTGCTACAATATCCAAGTCACAATCTGTGTCTCTGCTTCTGTATTTTCTACCAGAGGAGCTACATTTTGGTCATTGCTGTTGTCAAAACCTCATCAGTGTGTTAGAATGGCTCAGAATGACAATGTTCTAATAATAGAGGTGACCGTCCAGCCAATACCACACTCTATTTACAAACTAAACCACAGCTAACAACTTATAACCAACACAATCAGAAATTCATACAAAAAACGATGCAATTGTCCCCATTGTGTCTGTGACTGTCAATTGATTCAACTTTCTAACATGTATGAAAACTACTATTTGCATCACAGACTGGATGATTGCAGTTACGTTCAAGTTGAACTTCTTGTTTGTGGATTTCAGAATCCACAGTATACAGCCCTTTGATGCTATTTACATCCAGCGAGCCACATTGGAGCACAATAACGCCCTCAAGAGGCCAATTTCAGGAATGATCCTCAATATACTTAAACCTGACACTCACTCCTTATCAGCTATACAAATAATACGGAGGCCCAATATATTATGATGCTGTAAACCAAACAAAATTCTGTCTATTTCCGGATGTTCCCTCCTTTAGGTAAAATGGGTGAAGGGCTGTTCACCGCTCTAATGCAGATAGAGGACCAGGATTGCCCAGCCTCTGAGTGTACCTCACATTTGACCCTGGATCCAGTGGTGGACCACGCCCTAAAGGCCCTCCAGCTGACTGAGGCCCTGAGGGGAGTGCTGGAGGGGCAGGGGAGTGAGCAGGAACAGCACTCTCTCAGGAAACAAGTCTCCACTGAAACAGCACACATTATACTGAAGTGGCTGCACAGAGATGAGGTGAGTACCGTTTCACTGAAGGCCGTGAACACTGTAACAAGGATGGATAAAAGACCAGAAGAGCATTATACAACACTCAGTATGCAAATCTAATATCCAATCTGAAAATATAAAAAATCCAATAAATGAAAATGGCAGGGCTGGCCAAGCTCTTCCCCTTAGAGGAGAAGCTTATGGTGAGGCGTGGGCCGTAAGCCAACACAATTTATTGTTTTGTACTAAGATCATGAGTTCCATAATCTGAAATGCCTTTTGTCTGTTTGCCTGTCTCTGCCTCACACTTCTATTTTTAGCCCACCAAACGTCTTGCAAAGTGTTACTCTATAGCATAAATATATTGTTATTTCATCATTTATTTTTCCCACAAGAATCTGTTAGACAAAATTGAACCTTATGGTGGTCTAACTTTGGCCTTCAGGCTCTACGTTCGGCAACCCTGTTAGAGAATTGCAAAGTCATAAAAGCAAAGGCATATAGGCTACTATATATATATAGTGTATACTTTTACCACTGCATCAGTCCATGGGTTTTATTAGTTGTGTGATATGGTTGTCTTTGATCCTGGCCATCAACATCTGGCGGCTGTCTGCATAGAAGTAGTTAGCCGATGCTGGAGATATTGCAAACTGCACCGGTAATGAAATCCAGAGCTCCTGTTTAAAGTAAAAGCAGTCACTCCCCCTTTCACTCCCTGACTTCCTTTGTTCCTATACCCCCTGCACTACTCCTATCCTCTTTTTTCTGCAACAGTTGTTTGTTTGTCTCCTGTTTGTAATCAACCAGCAGTATACCCTCGTCTACTCTACTCAACTTCAATATATTTTCAACGTTTCACTTGCATTCCCCTTCAGTCTCCTCCACCTCCTCCTCCTCCTCCTCCTCCTCCTCCCCTTCTGCGTGGTCTTTACTGACATCTTGCTCTGCACCACATCTGACAAGCATGTGTTGAAGAAAGTTTCCTCTCCCCTGTGCCCCTTTAAGAAGCCCCGCAAAATGGTCTCGACCGAGAGGTACTTCAGAAGAAGCGAGACAGGGATAGAGACAGACAGAGGTACGAGAAAGGAAAGGGAGGAGAGAAAAGGTGAGAGACCATGACATTCAGCAGAAATACTGATGCAGTTATACTGAATGTGCTTCAGAGAGAAAGCAGGAGAAAAGCCAAAGGGGAAGTTAAAAAGAACTAGAAAAAAGTGAAGAGAAGAAAGAAAGAGAGTACAGCCAACTGGCATAGTTGGAGTTATTCGCCTCAGCTCAAAAAGTCTCAGGCTGCCCAGACTCCAAACCACACGGACTGAGGTCCTCTCTGCTCTCTCAACTAAAGCTGCAGTATGGAGGCTCTGTAAAGGGACTAGAGTTGGATTCAGCGAGACCAAGAGTGCAGCACAGTCAACAGCAATTGGTTTGTCTTATTGAGGATTTTGTATCTGTTCATCCTCCCTGATGCTTCAGAGCACCATCTCAATTATTTTAGTATCTTACATTAAGAGCCAGAACTACGGTACAATGGGCCTGCACAATGGAGTATGATATTGACTTCTACAAACATTTTGCCTGGCTTAAGAAGGTAAGACATTATCCTCTTGCATGTCTACTCTTCAAACCTGTATACTGCACGAGTGTTTGCACAAAGGTTATTGGTTGTTTCTTTTCGGTCTTGCAATGTTGTTGCTTTTACGATATAATGACGGTTTCCATGGTAGCTAATTTGGGAGGAGGACATGTTTTGAAGAGGTGTGCTGCAGGATAAGCAACACATGAACTGTAAGCTCCTTGTGGACTAGAAAAATAATGAATATAAGTTAAGAAACAGCTAACGATATCATGGTAGTAAATGGATCATAACATGGGTGAAATAATAGATGCACTCTCTGCCAAACTGGTCACAAGGTTAAATGTTTGAGGTGAAGGATAAATGGAGATGTCAGCTGGGATCATTTTCTTCCACTCGAACCTACAGCGAGCCTCTGGACAGCACATACCATCCTGCTACGATTAAGAAGGCATTAGTATTCTCTGCATCCATTATGTTACACATTTGTCTTAATGTAAAACACATAGCGGAACCGTTTTCATAGATTTACTGTTTAATCATTATTATTTACAATTTTGACCAAGAGGTTTATGATGTATCATAAGAGACAACATTGTTGTTGTTTTTCTTGACAATGTTTGGAATATTTTCAAATTGTATATAGTAAAACTATATATAGAGAAAAACACTGTATCAATTGAATCACATGTATGTAATGCAATGCAAAAGCCCTGTTCAACTCATTTAAGCCACATACAAACTCACATCAACACAACATGACAGTGTCAACGGAAAATAACACATGTGAGATTTCTCATAGGATTATACATTTGGAAAGAAAGTCAGGATATATGTTTGAAGTTAGGAGGAGAATCGGTTTAGGAATTGATTATTTTTGAAGTTGGCTAAAAACAGTTTGAGAGTTATTAAGCACACGGCAAAAAGGAAGGGAGCTGTTTACAATATAAAGAAAGGCAGAAGATAATATTACCAAACACTGGACTTGTAAACATGGCAATGGTTTAGAGGAGGGACTGTCCAGCACACACATGCAATTACTCATAAAAAAGTTATAATGAAGAATATCTGAAATAATACTTAAAGTAAGCATGATGTACAATCACATATATTAGCATTTAAACAGATGTTTTTGAAAGCATAAGGCAAAGAGTGTATTAAATGCTTAACGGTGTTTTTGAATTATTGCATACCACTTGCTGGCTCATGATGATATAAGCTGGCCTGCATAATGTTTCCATGCTTGTGGTTGAAAGCCTGGATTTCTGAGATATTTGAGACTATTGGATTGCACTTTGCTTCTCTTTCGAACTGATCGCTTTAAAATGTTCCTAGGCTCTGCTTTCACACACAATTATTTCCCACCGATCAGATTGTGCAGGATTAGTACCTCTAAACCTTTTGCAGGCTTTTCCGCACATGATCTACTGACACAACAACGCTAATACTGAGAGTTAATTATGTGTGTTCGTGCATCTGTGTTTACTGTACACAGCCTGCCACCTCGATGAAGGAAACCAAATCCAACCCACTGTCCTGTATTTAACTGTGTATTTAATGAACTTAATAGCCGACCTTTTTTCTAAAGGTAAACCTCCATTCTACTGGCAATAGTGAGTCCTACCAGGAGCGGTTATCACGTCTGGAGGGAGACAAAGAGTCCCTTATTCTGCAGGTGAGTTTGGTCAGTCTTAGTGTTCAAAGCACATAACAAAATGTCTGTTTCTTTTTGTGTAACAATTATACAACCCTTTAAAAAATGTTAAACCTGAAGAATGCCTGGACATTTGTTGATAGAGGTGAATCATTTCCATTTGGTATCAGACTGCTCAAATAGAAGAGGTCATGTGACCACACTGAGTGGGACCTGATTCTGAACAGTGCCCATATCACATAACAGTGTTAGAGGAACGAGTAGAGGAACTGAGGGCAAAGCTAGGTCAGAGTCTAAAGGTTGCGTAATTGCTGTATTTCAGTTGCACAGGTGAATCAGCAGTTGTAAAGCTGGGTTTGGTGCTCTGGTTACAACACTAGAATGTCTTGTTTTTTTTTTTTTTAACAATTTCTTTGTCTAGATATGTAGGTGTGAGTAGTTATGACACAACTGAACAAGTGCTTATCTCAGACAGGCTGAGGCTAGCACCACCATGTACTGTAGCGTGTAGGTGTGTTTGTGAGAGCAGGTGCCCTGTTTGTTTCTTCAGGCTTCACATATAACATTCCTTTAGAAAATCTGCTCCACTTGGCTGGTCGGACGGGCCTATCAGCATGTGATTAGCTATGATGTGGCCCTAATAGTTTCTTTGCAGATTTATATTTAACCTGCGTTTTGCTGACATTTGGCGCCACTGTAGTGTTGCAAGCTCTGAGTGAGGAACAAAGGATCATTCATTTTTTCTTAGAGTAAACGTTTACACTATCTAATCAGTCACAGATGTAACATTTCAACAAAAATGTAGTACAGAAATTGAATGAAAAAAGCTGATATAAATGTGTCCTATCAGAAGGTAAAGGCGAAAATCGGAGGCCTAAAGAATTTGGTCAAGCATAGGTTGCAATTATGTAAAAGAAAACAGTTTTATTGTCAAGTTGTGTGTAGAAAAAACATCCTCATCTCTGCTTTCTGTCTTCACACACAAATACACACAGGTGAGTGTGTTGACAGAACAGGTGGAAGCTCAGGGGGTCAAAATCAGCGATCTACAGAACTCTCTGGTGGAGCATCAGCACAAACTCAACTCCACGGAGGAGATGCTACAGCAGGTACAGCCTCACATACCAAAACACTTCTTACATTGGACTTTCAAATGCTTGATGTATTACTGGACCAAAATCAGGAAACTCTGACTTCCCTCAGCAGGCATCCAGGGCTTTCACATCAATAGTGTTCTTCCATTTAACAAGACTGTCGATCTATCCATCACATATGACTCTTCTGCAGATTCAATCTTCTCTCATAAGCTGTAGAATTTGACTTGGGATGAGTTATGCTTCCTGGGAACAAATTCCTTTTAAGATTCCAGAGTTTCTGTCTGCAGATTACCTTGACAACCAAAAATATTTAGGACGCTCAGACTCATTCCACAGCAGTGTCTCAGAGTGTTTTTCTAGTTTATGCAGGGCCAGACTGTTCTGTCTGGGCAGGTGATTACAGAACCATTAGCCACACCCACAACCTGTAACCACCATGATGTGTGTACAGGCACATAAACACATACTATACACAAACATAGAAACGCTTGCACACGCATACAAACAGAGAGGGAAAGAGAGAGAGGAAAACAGAGGAAAGGAAAAAGCATTTAAGAGAAAGGGAGGAACAGCTGAAAAAGGTGGAGAAATGGGAGGGAATAAGGGTGGTGCTACTCCAAGAGTTAGAAGTGTGCATGTGCAACTTTCAGTTGTTTGCTTTTGACTTGAAATGTAACAGAGGCTTTGCTGAACACTACGAAGGACTCTGAATGGAATGGATTTAAGAAACTGTAATTTACTGAAACTACAGGGTGCTAGAAACCACCCGCGTCCATGAAGGATATACACTTATTTTTCCTTTGCTGCAGGTAGACACTGGAGTAAGGTGAACCAGGTATTATGCATAATGTCATTATTGTAATGCTGCTCATCTGAATTATCAATTCAAAGCAGACTGTTTAAACCTATATGACTAATTGTATATGTGCCAGGCTTGCGTCTTTTAACTATAATGAGTTGTGAACTTAATACTCAGTGTCTACTTCTATGTGCAGTGCTGTACATGTATGTGTGCAGAGTATCAAAGGGCAGCCAGGGCTGGTTTCTTGGAGACATGGTCATTATGAGGCTTTGGACCTGAGCCGTAAATCTCTTCCTGGTGACAAAGCTTTAATATTTCCATGTGTACTCTCTAGAAGAAGCCTAGACATTTTCCAAAGCCAGAGTTTAAATGGATATATCAATATGTACTGTTTGCCTTTCTCCGATACTCATTCCTAGACTTTAAGTGATTTAGCACCTGCTTGACATCAACCAAATTAGTAATACATCTGCCCACAGAGCCTGGCTTAACTCTCAAGGCTGACAGTTGTTCGGGACAGATAGTACCAGAACTGTATAGCAGGCCCAAAGTCTCCCTTAGCACCAGGTTAGACTGGCAGCAGTTCAAAGTTGCAGGAAAATGCACCTGTCAAAGTTATTTTAATGTTCTTTCTGTGAATGTTTTGCATGCTTTTGGTATATTTCTCTCTCACTCTCTCTCCCCCTCTGCTGTGTACTTTGACTGAGCTGTGAAATAGGCATTATAAATAGTGGTCATGGGTTGTGTATATTTAGCCACTCAAACAGCGTCTGAAACCAGTGGGTTTGTCTGGGGCACTGTCATTACAGCACTGGAAGCTAGCTGTGCCTCATACTTAATGTTGCCTTTGTTCAGTAAGTATTGAGTGTTTTGTATTATTGACAGGATTATGTATTCATGTATGTTAGTATTTAACTGTACGTCTCTTTGTGTTGCCTCATGCTCTTGCTGTATGTTGTTGATGACAGGAGTTCCTGCATAGGACGTCACTGGAGAACCAGAAGCTGAGTCTTATGGGGGAGGTGTCCTACCTGAAACTAAAGCTGGCAGACATGGAGGGAAAACAGGGCCATGGGGCTGAAAGGCAGCACAAAGCAGAGGTAGGGCTACTCAGAGAGCCAAATATGCCTACTCTCTGTTGTATTTTACTTTTAATATGCAGTACAGCCTGTAGGTATGGGTGTGTTGTTCGTCAGAACTTTTTTTTTACAAATGTTTCGATCATATAAAGGTTGCAAAGTTTGAAAAGCAGTTTAAGTTTCTAACATTAAAGCTTTAAATCGTTTAAATTGAGCAATTAAACCTGATATTCTTGACTATGTACAGTAAATGTGAACGCCATGCCTCATATTCTAAATGAAAATATAGCTTGTTTTACTGAGGATTGTTTGAGATGAGGAATTAGTTCAGCTAAAATCCTCAGAAACCTATATTTTATAGTCCTCTGAACTGTTACCGAACTCTGCCAGGAGTGAAGCAGTTACTCACAGAAATCTGACTGGCGTTTTGAGGGATCTTACCTTATAGTCAGCAGCCGATTTTATGGATGTTCATAAACACTTTCTTGATAGATGGAGGGTAATATTCACCCAGTCTCTGGCTCTGTTGTTTCTGGGCAAAGTCCACAGGAAAAAAACAGTCTCCAGGGGATTTACATTTTTGTCAGTTTAAACTGAATCATGTATTTGCTTAAGAGCGATGTGTTAGGTTACCAGCAGGCATTCAGTGACCATATGAATTAGAGAAAGAGGAAGCAGGGAAAGCGGCAGGACAGGATACTGTAATGTCTGTAGTTACTTCCAAAACACTGCTGGTCAAAGGGCCTTTGTTCTCAGGTTAAAAGACTCCCTGCATAGCAGAGCTGGCTGATGGATGGCAGACCAAATATGAATGTTTGTAGGCTTTAGCTAAGACCATTTTGTTTTTGGTTGTGGGTAAAGGTTCCATTGGCCAGTATAAAAAAAGGAACTGAAGACATGTTCCCAAAAACATTACACGTAAGCATTTGAAAATAATATTATTCAAATATGGTTGGGGAATTATAGGGAGGGATTTTATTTGTATTTCTAAGGTAACAGCACACTGTACACTGGACGGCGGTGTTTCAGCTTTTCTTAATCCTGATTTCACAAACCAAACTTTCCCAACAACAGCTGCTTGGACTTAAGGAGAATAGGAAAAAAATCAGCTTTGAACTATTTATTGGCCTCCCACGTGCTGCCTCTACAACACAAACATGTCCACACATATGCAACATTGGGCACACACACACACACACACACACACACACACACACACACACACACACACACACACACACACACACACACACACACACACACACACACACACACACACACACACACACACACACACACACACACACACACACACACACACACACACACACGCAACATGCGGAAGCCTCCTTGCTGTGGAGCCAGTAAGCTTGCAGTTAAATTTAGCCACGCAGGCACTCCATATCATCTGTCATATCCGCTGTACTGGACCCCAAGTGAGACTTCCTCTGTCCACAGTCCAGGCATAGCTCCACTGTTGTTTACAATCTTTCTGAGGGAACATGGGTCCGTATAATCTCTAAAAGATGGCAAACCTACTCGTCCCCTCAGGGCAACTGGCCCAGTGCGTCAGTAAATAAGTACCAGCTTTGGATTTATGCTTGAAATACTGGCTTACTAGCTTATTTATGTAACCAGACTCAAGCCCAAATGTACATATTCCTGAGATTTTGAATATCAGGTTTTGTAAATATAAGGTAGAGTAGAAAGGAAAAATAACTTATATAAAACACACACAAACATTACATTACATGTTACTTGTTAGACGCTTTTATCCAAAGCGACTTACATACTACTGTGGGCAATCCCCACAGGAGCAATTTGGGGTGAAGTGTCTTGCTCAGGGACACAACGACATGCCGACTGCAGTGGGGTTTGAACCTGTGTGTAGCCCAAACAAACACACACTTGTATCTAAACATACTGTATCTATACACATCTATGGTATTTCCTCTTGCTTTCTAAAATAAATGTCTCAATTCTTTCCCCCCCACTTCATCCGTCAGACTGTAGTGAATTTCATTAGTGAGCTGCAGGAGCAGATGTGTAGGTTTCAGGAGGAGATCAATAGCAAGATTCAGGAGAAAAAGGCTTTGGAGATCCCATCTGAGAGCAGCTATCCTGTGGCCTGCCCCACGGAGTCCACTGGGGGCGAGGGATCAAACCCCGGGACGTCTTGTGACCGAATCTCAGAAGGGATGAACAAACTAGAAAAGGCTCCAGATGGGCCTGATGGGATCACTCACACCCTGGAACAGGGTAGCTCAGGGAAGCTGAACCACTGTGGAGAAGAAAGTGTAGGCACAGCCTGCATGCATGGCTTCTTATGTTGTGTTCAGCATGGGTTGTCTCACTAGAGTGTGTGTGATACTGAGGTTTAAATGCAAATGAAACAAGCACGCACTAAATATCCCCAGCAGTGCTAAATGTCACTGCGCAACCTGCCTAAATCGTGTGAAAAATAATCCCATCTGTCAGTTATGCATCAGAGTGTGACACCACCAATAGGTACATTTCATTTAGTATTTAATATCGTGTGTTATGGAAAAACAATGGACAGATTTTCTAAGATCTCCTGAATATTAAAACTAGCTAAATGTTGACATATCTGTTCTGTTTTAGGGCCTACTGAAAGAGCTCAAGATTCTCAAGGACAAAGTGGAGAATCTGGAGGATCAGAAGTTACAGTATGAGAAGAAACTCCAATCAACAAAGGTAAAAAAAGTTCTGAGTTTTGATGGTGTCTCAACTTTGCAATAGACCATCAAAACCATCAGTGGGCAAATTCAACTGCTAACTGTCCGCTCAACTTTCCTAAATGCTTTCCAATCCGCTGTTCCAGCCAGTTATATGCGAGTCACCAAGGTCTCATGTCATGGCCATTTCTACTGATCATAATTCCATTATAGAGGTCTACTAGAATAGATTTACGTTGTTCAATGTTCCAAAATCACATTGGTTTTCTCATACAGCATCTCTGTATAGTATATGTGTATTCTCTGTCCTACACGCCTTGTTGGAGCTCCTGCCAATGGCGTTTGTTACCAACCAGAAAATGACACCGGTAATGACAAACAGATGAGAATGCTGCGTGGGGTCTGAGTGCCGTGTTGGCAGGACGTTGTGGGGCTCGAGGAGCGGACAGTGTGAGGTGGATTACTGGTGTTTTTTCCTTGTTGCTGCTTGGGGTCTGTGCTCCGCGCAGCTCCACACACACTCACTCTCTGCGGAGCTCAGGCTGAGTGAGTGTGGGTGCGGAGCTCTGCGTTGCTGGCTGAGTGAGTAGGCTTGTTTGAGACGCGTTGCGGCTCGCCTCGAAAGTAGACGAGAATAGCCGATCGCAGCCGGGGCAGGTCTCAAAAAGCTCGCCTGAAGTCGGACAGCTCCGAGTCGGATTCTTCTTCTTCTTCTACGCCTTCTTCTTCTTCTCTCGGTTTTTGGGCGGATCGCAAACAACTTTAAGGTGCATACCGCCACCTCCGGAGTCGGCTTGACTCGGTTTGCATTCATAAAGAATGCACAAATGTGTTTAATCGTTAATGTCAGATATGTACTAAATAAATACATTTGTTCCTGCTCAAGANACACACACACACACACAGGCATTTCGTGTTGCACAGCACGATTTTAAAAGCAATGTATTTCTACTGCTCATGTGTTTCGTGCCTGCAGCACGTCTTTTTCTCCGGAAAAAGACGTGCTGCAGGCACGAAACACATGAGCAGTAGAAATACATTGCTTTTAAAATCGTGCTGTGCAACACGAAATGCCTGTGTGTGTGTGTGTGTGTGTGTGTGTGTGTGTGTGTGTGTGTGTGTGTGTGTGTGTGTGTGTGTGTGTGTGTGTGTGTGTGTGTGTGTGTGTGTTTAAGAGAGAGAGAGTGTGTGTCTGAAGGAGTTAAATAAAGATATCAAATGTGAGAGAGGGAGAGAGAGAGAGAGAGTCTGTGTGAAAGAGAGAGAGTGTGTGTGCGAGAGAGAGTGTGTGTTTGTCTGTGTGTGTGTGTGTGTGTGTGTGTGTGTGTGTGTGTGTGTGCACCTCTTCCTGTCAAGAGTGGAGGTTTGGTGGTCAGCATGAAACACAAGTTTGTCCACCCAAACTCATACCATGATACACTTGACTCCACACATATACGCAACCCAGGCTGAGTGTTATCAGTGGACTCCCTCAACCCCAGTGAGTGGCATGCAAGATGGGATTTAGCTTTTTTAATGAATTAGTCATAACTGCCATCGTCAATCAATCAATCTATCAATCTCTCAGTCTCTCCATCAGGGCCGCTATGGCCACATGCATAATGTGTTTGTTTGAAAAGGGAGACAATCCGCTCATTTCACATGCATACATTTTTGTAGATTTCTAAAGCACCTGTGGTAAACGTATGAAGCGTTAAGGTTTGGTGATGCTAACAGCGAGGCCCCAGCTGCATGAGTGAGTAGAGCTCTGATGGAGTGACTTGCAGCTACCTTAGCAGACCATCAGGTGATTTTCTCTCTGTCAAGACTGATACATGTCACCCGTGATTTAGTAACTGAAATACGGCTACCTCTTATGTGCTTGTTTTTTCTAACTTTTTTTTGGGAGAGATATATATATTATTGAGGGTCAATACTTTAAAACATGAAAACATTTGAATCCAAAGTCCTCTGATGTGCAATATCACTGATGTGCATTATGTACCGCTTTATGATTATTACTAGTATTACCGGCTGCTAAGTTAGACAATTCAATTACTATAACAAAATCTGTAAACAACGTTGTGCAATATAAACGTTTGCTTTTATTACTGTTATCTTGCTTCTATAACACTACTTTCTACATGCTACAATAATTTTTTCTTAATACTGCAACCTTTTTTGGATATGTAATTTCTATCTTATATAATTATTTAATATTTAGCTATTTTGGGACGATTAAAGGTATTTAGATTTTTGATTTGTTCTGCTGAAAATAAAATAATAAATGAGCATATTACTTGCATTTTACGAATTAATTATATTCCTTTTACTGAGGGGTACAACAATCTCAATAATTAGGGTTGGAGTTATGTTTTCTGTATTTGTATCTTAATGTCGACCAAATGACCAAAATAAACTATGACTTTTAACAATAAACAAATATTGCCAGCACCTGTTGTTTCTGACTGGCTCAATACCACAGACACCCTTGAATACTTATTGGTGCACCACCTATATATTAATCCATGGTTGCTAATCCTCCCCAGGAAATGTAGTATTTACTCCTTTTTATGTTATTTTCACTTGGGATCCCCCATAGTACTTTTTTGGGTATTCAGAACAATGGCACCCAGTTGCCCAGCTGTTTAAAGAAGTAACTTTTTACTTGTCTCAAATAAAAAAACGTGTTTGTGTCCTGCTTTGCTGTATACTGTATAGATGGTGCAAAAGGTATTAAGAGACAGACTTGTTGGTTTGTCTGATCCTTTTTCCAGGATTTGTTGACTATAAGAAGGTGAGGTGAGGATATTAAAGGTCCCATGTCATGCTTTTCCGGTTATTTCCCGTCCCCTTGTGTGTTGTGAAGGTTTTTATGCATGTAAACGGTCTGCAGAGTCAAAACCCTCAAAGTACACCCTGTAGCGAGTAAAACTCTAACACAGAAAATACCTCCCCAAAACGTCTCGGAGATTTATCATTTTCCAATGTTTTCTTCCTGGGTATCGCTACGTAAGGATACCCAGTAGCCACACCCAGAGCTATGGATGCACCCTCTGCCAGCCTTTCACGAAACAAAGCTTCACAAACCTTTCAGCGATTCATGCCAGATATGTACAGCGTAGGGCACTGAAGAACGATGCTGTTCCTACTTTGTTTGGACCAGCGGGAGATTCGGGTACACAACCTGTAAGTATTCATTGTTGTTTGTGTATTTATGATGTTTAAAACAAACAAGGTATCTACCACGACTGTTTAAATGGGTAAACGTTTTTCGGGCTACTACGTTGGGGTCGCAGAGAGATGCTCTCCACAGACCCATTCTCACAGCGTTATAAACCTTTTTCTTACTCAATATCAAGCCACACNTGAATACACATACTTTACAGAGATGCTGTATGAGAAACCAATGTGAGTTTGGAAAATTGCACAGTATAAATGTATTTTAGTATACCTCAACAATGGAATTATGATCAGTGGAAATGGCCATGACATGGGACCTTTAAAATAACTTGTCACACAAACATATCCACTGTTCAGCACTGTCACTGTTGAAAACTTGATTTTATGTATCTACCCCTTATTGTATTTTATGTATTCTTATGTCCGTTTTACACTTCTTTAATAGAATGCAGTAAAAATAACCACTTTCAATTTCATGAAATGTAATGGACCACAACGTTGCCTTATCTTATCTTACAATGTGCCTACCACACTTTCAAAGCAAAGAGCATATTGGTTTATATAAGGCTATTAATACATGAATTTTGATGAAAGGCCAATGAAAATAGCAAATGATTTGCAATATTTTAAAGTCTCTTCCTGGTTGTTTTGAAAATACAATTGTTCTAAGTATTGTGCTCTTTTGAGTTAAAAGCAACCATCAAACAGCATACATTACAATGTATGGCCTGAAGGATATAGTCTACGCATGTAATAATCTATAATAAGTGTAGTGTTGAAGAGAAAAGAGTACTATCAGGGGTATCTACTTCAGAAATGTCCTTCTCATTCAGACGCACCACAGGAGGCAGAAAGAGAATATAAAACCTACATCAAATTATTTGCAAAGAGCCACATGCTTTACCAACTCATTTGTTTCTAAGGGTTCATTTAACTCTTTATACAAAGGAAACTGTTGCTAATGTGGCCTGTGATAAGGTATTTCCATGCTGTGTCGACAGGCATCATAATCTATTCACACACTCTTTCTTGTCCATTCAAGAAATCCACTTGGCTGTATTTTTATGGATTGCATTTATGATCATTTTAATCTTCAACAGTTATAGAGTTGACATGTTACAAAATAAATAACAGCTTTTACAATATAAATCAAACTCTTGTCAGATTTACATTTTCATATTTAATTGTCTTACAGCTTTTCTAGTTCTTCACCATGTCGGTCTACAGTGTTTTAATTTCATAAAAACTGATCTGGCAGAGATCAACAATGTTTCTTTTTTAATGGAATAATATTTATTGATAACATTTAACATATTTTCCTTACAGATACTTTGTCTAGAAATAAACCATCACTGCACATCAACCGACAAAACATCACATCGTATTCCCAAAAATAGAAACAGAAACAAACAAACGAGGAGAAGATATCCCACCAAACCATGACCTCATGCACCAATTCACCACCGAATTAATACAACTATATGGCAGTTCAACTGGTTGTAAGTACATTGTGCAAGACTCACCTCATTAAAACAAGTAACACGACCATGTAAAAAACAGTAACTACTGTATAAACCCAGAAATAGCACAGACCTAAAATTTCTGTACATGCCTGTTTTTTCTCTTATGGAACATTATAGATAAATAAAAAAACATCCATCTGTGCGGTCATTCAACATGCAACTGGTCTAGCTGAGCAGAGCTCAAGACAGTTTGTGTCTCTCTTTTCCACAGTAGCTTATCAATGTCTGCATTCTTCTTTTAGGACTATATGTGTGCAGCACTCTGCGGCACTCCTGTCCCAACGTATACAGACGAGGCTTCGGGTTAATTGGTGCTCTTGTGTGAAGTGTTGCTTCAGTGTTGCTCAAGGCTACGGAGAGGGAGGTGTCTTAAGAGAAT